TAGATCAGCTACTTCAGTGTTTCCATCCCATTGGAAGAACCCTCCACAAAACCTATTGAGATACCCCTCAGGCAGGACTGTAAAATAGGTATAGTGTATGGGATGGGTACTAGTGAGAGGGGGGAGGTTGAATGAAGGAGATTAGTTGAGGGGATACAGTTGATGATCTTCATATACTATTTCATAAGAAGTAGAACAAAGAAACCTCTTGTAATTGCTTTAATTGAGGCAGAGAGGGGGCTGAGTCGGATAAGTGCTGGGGGCACTGTAACTAATGAATAGTATCCAACTAATTGAAGTCATCACTATGAATTCCTCATGTATAATTAATATATGCTAATAAAAATTTTATAAAATAAAAAATACTATTGCAAACTGGTGAGTTTATTTTATATACATAGAAATAAGAGAAAGAGGACTGATCATGAGGACATTTATTGACCTTTAGAAAATTGACATTCTTTACCCTGAGATATATTTTCTGCCCACAAGCATCTAGTATGCTTTTGAAAGTCATTTCATTCAAGGATGGTCGTATGGAATTTGAACCAGTGTTGGATCAGGACCCACAGACAAGTTGTCAGAAGTGACCTGTAAATCTAAGAGAGTTCTGGAGGTGATGCTTCTTTATGGAATTATGATCCACTTTCTACTGTCTGAGAGAAAAGACTGTTCATGAGGGCTGTGTCTTCACTTGATCTAAGGAGATTTTGTACATTAGACACTGAGTTTGGATATCCCAAACCCAGTACTCAGCTTTGGGTGGGTCCTGGGAATCTCACCTTTACATTCAGACACCCCTCCTTGCTTCTTTTTAATTTCCTTGGCCTCCTATGCACTAACACACTTTCCCTCATTGTCAGTAACACCAGGTCATATGGCTATGAACACCTGCTCTGAAGATAAACACTCAGACCAGTGTATTCAGTCACATCAGCAGAAGCCAGTCCGTTCCCCTGTGCTGGTCATCTATGAATCTGATGTCTGGTGCTCAGTGATTCCTGACTGATTCCCAAGTTCCAGCACTGGGAACACAGTTACATTGATCCTCAGTGCAGCACAAGAAATGGGTGAGGCTTGACAACATTGGTACAGATCACAGTGACATGTGTACATGGGGAATTGAGACACAAACCCCTTCCCTTTCTGTATTATAGACTTCCCCCACCCTAGGAGGACTGGAGACCAAACAGCCACATACTGTCATATTTGAGACCAGGCAACCCTTTCCTCCTAGACCCCAAGTCGGGCTTTGTAGTTAGTGGATCAGGGATGGATATAATAAATGTAGTATTAACAACATTCCATTGTTCAAGAGACAGAGAAATGATAAACAAAATATGGTGGGTGACCAAAAGGAATCCACGTTTAGCATATAGAATTGAAGGATACAATATGGGAATTTTTAACAATGTGAAAAACCCCAGGGTGGATGAGATTCATAACATATATAGTAAAATGCACCGATGATTGACAATTGAATAGACATGATAAGTGAAAAGAACAGGTCATCTTTTTGCATAGCAATAGAAATTATTTAATATAAAACGTGGTTGTGGCGGGGGTAGAAAAACCATAGCTTTGTGTGTTGTAGAATATTTGTGTGCAGTTTAAGGTGTTTATGGTTGAACTAGAGCAGATAGAGTGACTCTTGTAGGTGAATATAGCACTTGATGACATAATGGACCAAAATAATCCATTTTTGTGGAAAACAGCATGCACAAGAAACTCAACAAATCTCAAGGCAGCAAGTACTAAGGAAACAATATCATCACTAGTTACATGGTTACATTGCACTGTTAAAAGCAACACTGAAGAAACAGTTGAGACCATAAAGATATGAGCAGATTTCTCATCAGAATCTAGAAAGGGAGAATTTGGGGGAGTGATATTTTTAAATATAACAGGAAAAGTCTGTCGACCTGGAATACTTTACCAAGTGAAAATGTGTTCAAACAGAGGCAAAATAGAATGTATACAGATGTATAAAGAATTAAGGAATTGGTCACCTGCAAACCCTCATTCTAAGCAAGGGTTTCACGGGGACACAAGAATTCCTACAAAGTTCTCTCGGTTGGAATGACCCCTAACTACCAATCCTTCAGAAGTCAGCCCTATGCAACCTTAATTCTGACAACTTCAGAGACACAACAAAGAATGAAGAAGACTGTATGGCAGGTCTATTTTCTGCCACTTGTAACATGGTTATGTAAAACTGATAGAAAAAGAAAATGAAGGATGTATTTCTGATGACTTACTATGATAGGAAGAGAGAAATAGCAATGGAAATAAACACCAAGTCTGAAACCAGGCTAGAATTTGTGATGAAGACAAAAAATCAGGTCATTGCTCAACAAGTAACATGTCATATGTGACAAGATTTAACCAAAATTGGATTGATATAGGACCACATTTTAATGAAATGATAAATTAGGGACAAAACTTTACATAGGGGATGCAGAGAGGAGAAGAACTAGGAAGGGGATTTTGCAGGGTCTACCTTCTGCTCAGTCAAGTGTTGTGAATTGTCTCTTAGCAGTGGCCAGTTCATTCCACGGCCAGGTGTAGACGCCCAGCATCCCTGAGTTAGCTGAGCCTAGTGCACACCATGGTCCAGGATGGTTGGTACACTAGTAATCTGGTCAATCCCTGGATCACAAATGTACATACATGTATCAGAGGACAAGGCTGATTTCTTCCCAGAGAAGCAGCTAGGAAAGTTGGATTTCTTCCTCTTCCCTTCAGTCTCTTGTTCTATCCCTTCAACTGGGACAACATTCCCCACAACCTTTCAAGCTAGGGGCCCAGGGAAGTAGTGAATGTGTATAATCACTAAGCACTCATTGCCACAAAGGACCTCAGAGGACACGTGAGGAATCTATGGTAGCTCAGCTGTGCTATAGATTCTGTGGAGGCAGAGCTCTGGGATGCCTCTTCCATGGTCTAGACTTCTCTCTTGCTCCCTCTTCTCTCTCTATGCACAGGTTACCAATCCAGCTCTGTCCCTAGACTCATACCTCACAGGACCTTGTGTGGGTCTTCCACAAACTGTCATCTCAGTCAAGGCACAGCTTCAGGGGATTGGGATATCCTGGAAGTAGTCTTTCATATTCAACTACCCCCATTACAATTCTCTCTTGCAAGCTCTCTGGCATTCCATGAACTGACTCAGCTACCCTCATTGTCAGGGAACCTGGGAGAGACAACCAAGCTCACCTACTCTGGAGATGATCCAACAAAAATTATGCCTACTGGTTGCAGTGGAAGTCAGGACAGGCCACAGTGCATGTAATATAGAAAGAGTGAGTGGGATTTAGGAATTCCTGACCAGTTCTCACTCAGGGACAACAGCAACTCTGACCATCAGTAAAGCCCAGCCTGAGGATGTCTATTACAATTTGTTAGCAGTACATAGTGGCACTTTTTCCAAAGTGACACATGCAGATGAAGCATTGAGATAAAAACCCCATGCTCATTTGTGTGAATGTTCTTCCTCCTGCATCAGGAGGAATCAGACTAAGCCATGCATTTGCCAGGCCTGGCTCACCTACTCCAAGGCACCCAAGCTGCTATTTCCACCAAGTCCCTCAGGCGCAGCATTATTTGTGTCATGGTGGATTTAACAGTGACATGTAACATGTCCTGGTACCTCCTGAGTCAGGAAAGGAGTATAGAAAGTGCATCTGATTGGAGCAACCAACAGATAAACACCTGGATTCCTGTAATGACATGTATATTTCCATTATTGATGCCTGGGACATTGTATGCCTTAGGCCTAAAATACAGGCCCATAGCTCCTGAGTGCAGGACTGGGTCTTGATCCTTTGGAATTCCAATGAGAGCCTAAGTTTCAGATGACAGTGGTTCTGAAAAAATATTGCTTGTGGATTGTCTGTCTGTGACTTTGGTTCTGTGGGGAACAATGCCCTGCACTGACTCTGAATTTGCAGCTGACATGAGAAAGAGTCAGTCCCTCATCTCTGGTTCCACAAGTATGAAAACCTGGGGCCATTTCCATGATTACTCTCCTAAGCAGGGCATGGCAGGCAAATGCCTCCACCAAAATTTCATTAATACTTTTTGTATAAAATCAACCCCTTCAGCTTGGGGATGACACCATCCAGGGACACAAAGAAGCATAATTTCTTTACTGGGGACAATAATTCAAGCATAAAAGAATCCCAGGCCTGAGCAGCAGTTCTGAATCTCTACCTGAACCAAGGGTGTCCTGAGCTTCCAGCAACCAGTGCTGCTGGAAGCAACCTTGTGTTCCATGAGTGTGCAGCAGAGACAACCTGGCAAGGCCAGCTGGGGAAGAATTGGAACTGAGCATTAGAGGAGCCTATTATAGAGTAGGGTTAGTGTCCAAGATGAGGCCTGAATGAATGTTAGTATTTTTTTAACTTGCACTAGGAATTAAAGTACAAATTTGTGGTCTCTGAATTTGTCATATATGCCAAATTTGTAGATTTCTCTGTTAGTCTTGCAAACCTGCTAGGGATCATTTCACCATAGACCACCACTTATAATGTACTTCTATCACGTCATATGGTGTTTGATCATAGGTTGTGAGGCCTTCCCTGAGTGAATTGAAAGCATAAGCAGATCAAACCATAGGTATGGTTTACATAAAACCTCACATTAAGGATACCGATTTATAGCACAAATGGGGTCCTGAAATTTTTCATGGAAATTTTATTTCCACCATGCATTCTGTTGTTTGGGATCCAGTGTGGCATTGTGTGACACTACAAGGAATCACCAGCCAGGCAACTAGGCCAGGGAAGATTGTGTTTGACATATTGCCCAAATTATGGCCCTGCAGTTGACTGAGCTCTTCCTGTCTGAGGGTGTGTCTGCGGGTTCACCCTTCCCTCCATGTCTCCTGCTTGAGCTCTGCTTTCAGCTCTACAGAGTTCCAGCTCTGTAGTGATGAGTTCAGAAAAATTTGCATAAAAGGCAGATCCGTCCTGCAAGGGGATAAGAGAGGCTTGAGAGGAAGGCAGCCAGTTTGAGCCTTAGGGAGCAGCATGAGGATCTCTCCCACTATGTCCTGGACTCCCCTCCTCTTCAGCTTCCTCTTTCACTGTACAGGTCTTTCCCAAACCCCTCTAAGCCAACATCCCAGCTCAGGTCTATGGGATTTACCAGGCCATGCGTCTGACCTCAGCAGGTCCCTTGCATGAACAGGATACTCAGAACCTGCTAAGAATGGGGACTGTGGTGCCATGGAATTCCTGCACCTCATAGAGTTTAGTTGGGGGATGGTCACTTATTAAAATGTTAGTTAATATTCAACCCCTCCTTTTCTCTCCTTGAAGGTTCTGTAGCCTCTTATGTGCTGACTCAGCCATCCTCAGCGTCAGTGACACTGGGACAGATGGCCAGGATCGCCTGTGGGGGAAACGGCATTGCAAACAAATATGTGCAGTGGTACCAGCAGAAGCCAGGACAGGCCCCAGTGCTGGTCATCTATGGTGATAGTAGCCAGCCCTCAGGCATCCCTGACAGGTTCTCTGGCTCCAACTCAGGGAACACAGCCACACTGACCATCAGCAGTACCCAGGCTGAGGATGAGGCTGATTATTACTGCCAGGTGTGGGACAGCAGCAGTGATGCTCACAGTGACACAGACACATGGGGAAGTGAGATAAAACCTGCCACCAGCCTGGCTCCCACAGCCCCTCCTTAGTGTGTTCACACTGACGGTAGCCTGCCTGCCACATGGAGTGGAAATTTCGAGTCTGCACTTGCACTCCTGTTCTGATAGATGGCAGAGAGTGAAATTCCTGGACTTTCAGAGGTTCAGCTAATTCCATTGTAACCTGAACTGTTCATTTTTATCCACTTAAGCTCCCTGCATCAGAAACACAGAATCCATCATTATTACATAACTCTTGGTATGAAGGAGAATCCTATCCAGGCTCAAACTCACTTGAGGTAGAAAAAGAGAAAGTTAAGAAGGTTGACTATAGGTTTGCAGGATGTACACTTGGGAGTAAAACTGGTCCTTCAGGAAGGAAGTGAATGGAAATTGGTCAAATTAATATCGTAATAGTTTAGGAATGGGACTCAGAAAAAGCAAGTGTCAGAAATGGTTTAGATAAGTTGATTTTTTTGTACTGTGCTTCGTTCTCCAGGTGAGAATTGGGGTCTTTGGGATGGAAAACTTTACCTGTGCAATTGATTTTCAGATACATCCTGAAGCAAAAAAGAGACTTATTTACTACTCATTCTCTTTTTTTTTTTTTGAAGGAGTGATGTGGTTCCAGTAGTGAATCTGACACATACAGACTCTGCCTTCAGAACAAACAACATTGCAAATGACACTGACCATAAGAGAGGGAGAAGCATGTGGCATTGCTAGAGAGAAACAGACCCATATATTTCTATTGTAGTGCTGAGAGCTGCGAAGTCAAATGGCCCAGTTTCAGAACTGAGGTAGAAATGCACAAAAAGGTTTCTTAATAGAGAGGATGGGGAGGATTGAAGATATTGGAAATGGGCCTCTTCAGGCACATGCCTGCCCAGCTGAGTCAAGGTTAGGCAGGAAATTAATCCAGATGCTTTCTGTCCCAGTTCCTTCCAGCAGCATCCCCAGGCTCCTCCATCTCTAAGCAGGGTGACTTTTCTCCATTGCCCTCATGACCTATTCAGGTCTATGTTTTCCCTTCCTGTTTCTCCTGCCCTAAGCATTCCCCTCTGTCACACAAACCACACTCCCTGGTCTGCAACAGGCCCTGAGGAGAAGGCCAGGCACAGAGGAACAGCCATCAGTTTGGCTCCAGCCTACCTGCAAGGATCCAGGAGGGCACCACAGTAAGCACTCGCAGAGGACTTCAGCCTCATACATCACTATCCTGGTGCAAAGAGATTACTGAAAGCCCCCAGTAGTCTGCTCATATGCTCAGAGCCCAGGACATCTGGACTGCCTAGGAGGTGCCAGGTATAGCCTACCCTCAGATCAAAATCTTGGAGGTCACTTTGGGTATTTCCATCTGATAACATTGGCCCAAACTGTCTTTATGGATTATGGTCCTTAGTAAACCAGCTGGTAATAGCAGCTGTGTCTTTATTATTCATGGGTATTTGACAATTGAGAATCCAATTAAAAACTCAAAACCAAATTTTAACACAGAAAATTGAATATTAAGCATTTATTTATCCTTTGATTTCTTCATTATATTCATGCAATAGAGCTTAAAATTCACAAGAAATGATTCACCAATTTGAAATGGTATTAGTGTGTAATGTATTCATGAAATGTGTGCTTGATATGTTGCTTCTTCTCATACAAAAGTGGATCCTCCCACTTATTACTATGGCCACAATAAAATTGTGCATCCTGCAGGATTGGTGATGCTCAAAAGCAAGCCTGGGAAGCTTGGCTTGGGACCAAGGATAACAGCACTACTCGGTACAGCTCTATTGGTCTAGAGTCTGGATGTTGTGACACTATGACTGTGGAAGAGAGCCCTGCCTACATGTGTGTTTAGGAGGTGGAGCCCTTTGGAATATGTACTGTAACAAGCACACATGTTCCAGTCTCCTTTGGTCCTGCTTTCTTCACTCTGCACAGGTGAACTGATTAGATCCTGACCGTTGCATTGCTTCCACTGGATCCTATGGCTGGCTTTGACCCAGAGCTCAGCTCAGCAGACACTACAGGAGGGCTAAGATTAAGTCCCACAATCTCCTGATTCTGCTGGTCCTGGTTTCTCCTAAATCTCAGTTTTCCTCAGTAGAGGTGGCCTGAGAAACTTGTCACTTACCTGCTTAGGGGGAAAAGGAAACAGCAGCACTGCAAGAGAACCAGACTGAGGCAGGCCAGCCCTGTCCACCAAGGAAGCTTTCCCTCTCCCTGGAGGTGCTCCAGCTCTAACCTGGGGCTGATGGACACCAGCTCTTGCAGGCAAATCTGGATTCCTGGAAATGGCATGATGATGATAACGATGGTAAATGCTGTGTAGGACATTAATTTGTACCACCGTTTGACTGTCACCATCCCTTCTCCCACCCTTGTCATATTCTGTCCCAACATGCTCAGGAACATAGGTAAGGATACCAGGTCTACTTGTGTAGTCAACACAGCTTTTGTCTGTTCTCCTGGAGACTGATGGCATCAACATACTTTTTGTGAAATGGAGAGGTGTATACTGACCTTAGAAAGTTGGTTTTTCAAACATAGGTGATACAAGTGATACCAGCAAATAAGACGTTTAGTGGGTTTTCTGTTTACAGGAAGAGTTTCCCCTGGTCTGAATAAACAGAATTTTCTGGATTAGCATATAAACTGACTACCCTGGTGAAGCAATCTGACTCTGGAACTTTTAAGGGACCTGTGAAGAAATAAAGATAATGGAATTTTCTGGATTAGCATATAAACTGACTATCTTGGTGAAGCAATCCTACTCTGGAACTTGTAAGGGTCCTGTGAAGAAATAAAGATAATGGAATTATATTCAGCCATAAAGAAGAATGAAATTCTGTCATTTGCAGGGAAATGACATATCATTTTAAGTGAAGTAGGCCAGGTTCAGAAAGCCAAAGGCTGAATGTTTTCTCTCAGAAGTGCAATATAGACCTAATACAAATACAAACAATATTATGAAAAACAGGTCATGCTAAGGGGAGGTCACACACTAGAGAAGGTAGGGTAAAAGAAGGAAACTAAGAAGGTAAATATAGTTGATATACTTCCTATTAAAGAATGAATAAAGAATTTTAAACCACTTAATTTCAACATAAGAAGGAGATTAGGGGAGAAAGGGGAAAATAGAGATGAATCAATTGGGTTTATATACATATATATATAGCCCATATATATAGATATATTCCATATTCCATATATATATTCCATATATATATATATTCTATATACGCATATATATATATATATATGGAATTGTCACAAGGAACTTCCTTGTATAGCTATATTCAACAAACAAAATTGTCTATTTATTTATTTATGCTTGCAAAATCAGAGAACAGGAGGACAGAACAGGTCCTGTCTCATGGACTGGTCCCATTGAGAGGGAGAGGATGTGTGGAAAGGGTAAAGGAGTATGAATATGGTGCAAATACTATGTATACGTGTATGTGAATGGAAAAATGAAACTATCCCAAGAATGGCAAGGAGGAGATAAAGGAGAATGATGGGGAGGGGGTTAAATTCAAGTATGATGTATTTGAAACAGTGTAAGAACTTTGGAAAATGTCACAATGTATCCCCAGCACAATAGTAATAAAAAGTAATTATATAAGTGAATAAAGAAAATGTTAACATAAAGGGTGATGACTGATGTGATTTAAATGCCATCTGAGCTTAAGTGATGCAAACATCAGGTGTCACCTCTGACATCATAGCAGTCATTACTCTGGTGGCTGGAGAAGAAGACTGGGTTTCTGAACACTAGAAGAGACTGGGACCTAAACCACACCACACACATTTCTGAACATCTGTGGTTCTTGTAAAAGTGTTAAGTTTTATCCAGCATTCACAATTCTTTTGACACAAACTCACTTAATGTATTTACAGGAAGTCATCTGACTTTTACTTACTCTATATTCTATGTTATAAAGGTGGTTGTAATTTTAGACTTAAATAAAAGTACTTTTGACTAAAGTTACAGCTATCTGTCTTCTTCTCCTGTACTAATTTATCACTGGGCAAGAAACTCTAATTCTCTCAAAATTAAAAATGTTCAAATATAAAGAATTATAAGAGGTACTTTCACTACTTTTGCTGAAAAGCACTGACTCCTTACTTGGACCCCAAAATAAGGCAAAAATGACAGCATCAAAAAGCATAGCAACAATCCATTTTGTATCTGTGTTTGTTCTAAGTCATTCCATTTGCAGTCACCTTGCAACCATCTTGGAATCAAGAAAGGACAAAAATAATCAAAAGCATCTTCATGACAAGGGACTGAAAGTACACCCAACAGTAGACTCTCTTCAGGATGGACTAGCCTCCATGATAACAACTCTAAAATCTCTCCCATAAAAAGAACTAAAATAATGGTCAACCAGTATACACTTGATGATCTGTGACCGGGCCTGTTTAGCTATGTATAACTTTGTTACCTGCCCCCAGTTATTTTGTCAATTTAATCCTATAGCCCATGTCTGTACCCCAAAATTCATTAACATTCCTTTTCATGCTGATAACCACTGGTCCAGGTATATTTAACTACATGCCTCATTTTATCTGCCATAAACTACATTCCTTTAAATAGGTCACCACTCAAAACCATGTTGACCACACACTCATGCTGCTTTTCTATCAACCAGTTGAGGATTAGATCAAGCCAGTCCTAGCACTGTTCCTGCAACAAGCCCCCTAGAGCCATTTAGATCTACAAGAACTTGTCAATACCTCCTCCCTTTAAGATATCTCAATGACTCTTCTCAGTAGGAAGTAGCTAGACACAATTTCATCATACCCCTTCCAAAAATAACTACATAAACAAACATATATAAATATTACATATATGTATCTATATATACATATATATCAAAAAGCAGAAGTTTTAGGGTTGACAGTAGAAGCAGCCATAGTAGGAACAGATACTCTCCCTTGCACAGTTGGCTTTCTGGAAACTTCCACCTGATCCCAAAGACTGACAAAGGAACAGTTGATACCAGTAATCTCTGGGTGGTTATCAAGGACAGTTGAGCAGACAGTGAACTAACCACAACTTATCTTCCTTGAAGCCCAGAAACAGCATTCCTTAGTGATGCACAAGAACATTTTCCCACCCACTAATCTTCCTGATCTTTTCCATCAGCCCCCCTTCCCCTATACCTATCCCAAGCCTGTGTGTGGCAGTTTGCTCTAGCTGTCTTCCTGCACACCCCCACCACAGGCCTTCTTTTCTGAATACAGCCTGTGTTGATGTTGAGTCACTCACTACCTTTCCTTCTGTACCTCTCTTCAGTCTAACATACTGGGGCACTCAGTTCATGCTGTCCTCTTTCATCTTCACACATTGAGACTCTTCCCCCTGGGCACATACTGAGCTCTTCCCACATTCATGCTGTCGCCTGCTTCTCCTTCCTTCCTCATGTCAGATCCAGGAATATCACTACACATAGGGCCCCAGGCTGGATATAACCTGACCCCGTCTCTCACTCTTTTGTCTAATCCTTCTGTTAATTATTTACATAACATATTTCTCTTCTCTATTTTCAATCACATTATTTTTATTAATGAATTTATGTGTGTTAACAATTTCCAATGAGATTAGGCAGTTGCTAGTGGAAGAACACATGCTCAATAAGCAGAGAAATAAACTAAATACAGATTATTCTCCCTCCTCCGGATACAAATCTGAGGTTTGATGACTACAGTTTTTCTATTCTCAGCAACTGCATGTGTGATGCAGGAATTTTCTCATGTCCTTACCACCATGAACTGGCTTTCATTCTGGAGACTTAGGACCTCAGTACGACTGATGGCTCTTCCAGTCATCATATGCATATAGAAAAGGAAAAATCATGAAAAAAACAGGACCTTTGTGTTCTTCACCAGAGTAACATTTCCCTGAGAACAATTCCAATTGAATGAGTCTTTCTTCTGATGGTCACGTACTGGATGAATTATCCAATTCTGGTGGCTTGGCACCTGATGAGGTGTCTGGATTTACAAGATAGAGTGAGACCAATGAAGAGGTTCATGCTGGTGGGAGAGATGCGGGAGACTTGAAACTAAGTAAATTTAATTCCCAGGCCCATCACCAAGATGACCACCTCTTGAGATTAAGTCCATGTATTGATCTGTGGAATTCCCAGAAGTTGATATGGTGAAAACCACATTTGTTCTGTAAAATTATTGGATGTTTGTGGTCTGTCTGCGACTTTGGTTCTGAGGGTAACAATGTCCCCCATTGACTCTCAATCTTCAGATGGCACCAGTAAGGGTCATTCCCTCATCTCTAGTTCCCTAAGTATGAAGACCTGTGGCCATTTCCTTGATTAAGCTCCAAGACACTAAAAGACAGGCAAATGCTGTGAGTGAGCAGAGAATCCTCCTCCAAAAGCACTCATTCATATTTTCCTGCATAAACTAAGACACTAAGCTTAGAGATGACACTCTCAAGGGAAATTGAGAAGCAGAACATTTTCCCCGCGGACAATAATTCAAGGATAAATGAATCCCAGCCTGAGCAGCAGGTTCTGAATCTCAACCTGAAGGTTGCTCCTGATTCTCCAGCAGCTAGTATGGAGCAGCCACTAGGGGGCAGCAGTGACCACATCACAGGCTAAGTAGGGATGGATTTGACCTGGGCATTAGAGGAATCTGTTATGGAGTAGGGTTAGTGTCCAATATCTGAGCACCAATAAGAAAAGCTAGCATTTTACTACACAATCCTTGCCATTAAAATAAAAAATCTCTGCATTTTTCATGTATGCTACATTTGTACAATGTCTCTTTCAATCTTGCAAACCTACAGGGTATTCATTTCACCATAGGCCACCATTGAGCTGAACACCTATCTGACTGTCTGAAGGTGTTTGATGATAGGGTGTGAATCTTTCCCGAAGCAAACTAGAAGCATGGAGCAGAGCACCTCTGGTTTACATAAAAGCTCACAGAAAGGGTATCTTTTCAAGGGATCTTGAAAATTTTCATGGAGATTTTATTCCTACCATGCCTTCTATTGTTTGTGATCCAGGGTGGCATTCTATGACCTCTGCATGGCCTCACCAGCAATGCAACTGGACCATGGAAGTTTGTGTTTGACATGTTGCCAATATCTCAAACTGAGGCCCTGCATGTGGCTCAACTCTTCTTGGCTTAGGGTGTCTCTGTAGGTTCCCTGTTCCCTCTCTGTGTCTCCTTTGTTGAGGACTGTTCTGTTCACTACAAAAGGTCATGCAGGAGGCTATGAGTTCAGAGAGATTTGCATAAAAGGCAGCTCCCTCCTGCAAGGATATAGAGAGGCCTGGGAGGAAGCCAGCCAGCTTGTGCCTCAGGAAGCCCCATGAGGACCCCTGCCACTATGACCTGGACGCCTCTCATCTTCAGCCTCCTTCTGCACTGTACAGGTCTTTCCCAATATCCCATCAAGACAGGAACCCAGCTCAGGGATATGGGATTAGCCAGCCATCGCTCTGAGCTCAGCAGGGTCCTCATTTGAGCACTATTCTCAGAACCTGCTGAAGGATGGGGGCTGTGCAGCTGAATCCCAAGGGTGCTTAATGGCTTTTGGGAGCCTGAAGAGCTATAGCTGCCAATAATGAGGGGAACACTCAAGTGTTCAAAGGCTTCATCCTGTAGCCAGGCTTACTGGGAACTGGGACTGGGTGTGGTGCCTTTGATTGCCCTATGGGCCATGGAATCTCTGCAGTTCATACAGGTCAGGTGGGGGAATGTAACTCATCAGAAAGGGACTTAATATTCAACCCCTCCTTTTCTCTCCTTGAAGGTTCTGTAGCCTCTTATGTGCTGACTCAGCCATCCTCAGCGTCAGTGACACTGGGACAGACGGCCAGGATCACCTGTGGAGGAAGCGGCATTGGAAACAAATATGTGAACTGGTACCAACAGAAGATAGGCCAGGCCCCTGTGCTGGTCATTTATAATAGTAATAACAGGCCCTCAGGGATCCCTGATAGATTCTCTGGCTCCACCTCTGGGAACACAGCCACCCTGACCATCAGCAAGGCCCAGGCTGAGGATGAGGCTGATTATTACTGCCAGGTGTGGGACAGCAGCAGTGATGGCCACAGTGACACAGACACATGGGGAAGTGAGACAAAAACCGGAAACCAGCCTGGCTCCATCCGTGCTATGTTCACACTAACAGTAGCCTGCCTGCCACGTGGAGTAGAGATTTGTTGTCCTGCACCAGCCCTCCTTTTTTTGAGAGATGGTGAGGGTGGCAGACAGTTCCTGGACTTTTGGAAGCTCAAGTAATTGCACTGTAATCCAAGTAGTTCATGTTTATTCACTTCAGCTCAATATTCTAGAAACCACAGATTCCCTGTTTATCACAAAACTTTGGATATGAATCAGAATTCCATTGTGACAGAAACTCACTTAAAATACAGAACAGGAGTGTAAGTAGATGGGTAAAGGGTAGGAGGATATACACCTGAGAATTTAGGCATGATCTTTAGAAAAGCACAGCCTAGAAAGGGTCACATTAATGTCTTATTGGTTTTGGAATAGGAGTCACAAAAAGACAAGTGTCTCAAAGTGGTTTGGATTAATAGATTTTGTTTATACCTTATTTCATTCTCCAAGTAAGAATTGGGGTCTTGGTGTTAATGAACTTTACCTGTATAATTGGTTTCAGGAGCATCCCGGAGCAAAAAGAGACTTAGTTACTATTCACACCCTCATCCTCTTGGGAAGGGGTGCCCTGGTTCTAATAGTGAAGCTGACACATGTGGCCTCAGCCTTAAGCACAAATAACATTGTAGGATGACAGTGACCATAAGAGAGGCAATTGTATGTGGCATTTTCAGAGGGAAACAGACTAATGTGTTTCCCTTGTCATGCTGAGAGGTGCTGTGTCAGACAGCCCAGTTTCAGAATTGGGGTAGAAATGACTAACCAGGTCCTTTATGTTAGGAATGGGGCTGATTGAAGAGGTTGGAAATGAGCCTCTTCAGACACAAGAGTACCCATCTGAGTCAGTGTCTGGGAGGAAAGGACCCCTTCTGTCTCTGCTCCTTCCTAGCAACATCCCCAGTCTCCTCCCTCCCTCTGTAGGTCCCTTCTGTCCATCACACTCACTGCCCCCTTAACTCTGTGGTTTCCTTTCCTTTATCTCCTACCCCCAGGAGTCCCCTCTGCACACCTAGAACACATCCCCTGCTCCATGCCAGGCCCTGAAAAGGAGGCCAGGCCCAGAGTCACAGCCATTAGCTTTGCTTCAAACCCTCTATGCAGGGAGCCTTCTGGGAACCACAGAGTACACTCCAAAAGGACTTTGCCCCATACACAGCTAGGTTGGTACAATGGGAACACTGTAAGCCTCAAGTGGACCCTGTCATGTGACCTGAATCCGGGTCTGGATTCTGCACTGCCTCAGCTAAAAACCTTGGAGGTCACCTTGGGCATCTCCATGTGAACAGAGCTGACTCTATGTGCCCACACCTCCTACATGGATTATGGTCCTTTGTAACACAGTTGATAATGACAGCTGTGTCCTCATGAGTCCTGGGAATGTGACAATTGAGGATCTAATTGAAATATCATCAATAAATTTAACCATGGACAATTGAGTATTATGCACTTATTTATGCACTGAGTTCTTCATTGTATGCTTGTAAAACCTCTGTTTCACAAGGATTGATTCATCAATTTGTACTGAAAACAGAATTTAAAGTATTTGTGAAATTTGTGCTTGATGTGTTCCCTATGGAAAAATTGATTCTCCCATATATTGCTGTGTTCATAAAAAAATTGGTGAGGCTCAAAAACAGGCCTGGGAGGGCCGATCTGGAAACATGCACAGCTTCACTACCTCCGTACAGCTCTGCTATTCCGGAGTCTGGATTTTGTGATACTTTGGTAGAGGAAGAGGCCGTGCCCACACGTGTGTTCAGGACGCAGAGCCCTGAGGAATGTCTTCCATGGCCACCACACATCACCTGGTCCCATCTTGTGCTCCTTTCTTCACTCTCTGCACAGGTGAATTGCTTAGTTCTGTCCTCAGCTTTGCCTCCACTGAATGGTATGGGTGGCCTTGACCCAGAGCTCTTCTTTGCAGGTGCTGCTGGAGTGCTAAGATTGAGTCTTACAATCTCCTGACCCTGCAGGAACTGGCTTCTCCTAAGAATTAGCTTTCCTCAGTAGAGTTAACCAGAGAGACGTGTCATGTAGCTGCTTAGGGGAAAAAAAAACAGCAACAGTACAGAGCGAAATAGCCAGAGGCAGGTCGGCCCTACCCACCAAAAAACCCTTACCTTTCCCTAGAGGTGCTCCAGCTCTAACCTGAGGCTTGTGGACACCATTTCCTGCAGGCAAATCTGGGCTCCTGGTAATGGCATGACCGTGATGGGGGATGGGGAGTGCTGTGTAGAACATAAATCTGCATCATAGTTTGGCTGTCACTGTCCCCTGTCCCATCCTTGTCATATTCTTCCCCAACTTGCTCAAAAACTTTGGTCAGGATATCAGGTCTATTTGTGGAGTTGATACAACTTTTCTCTGTTTTCCTGGTAACTGATGGCCTCATATATTTGGTGTGGAATGGAGGGATGTATACTGACCTTATTAAGTTAGTTTTCATAACAGAAATGATACAATTAAATAATGGGTTTGGTGTGTTATCAGTTGCTTGTCTTTGTCCTGGTGTCTACTCTTCTTTCATGGAAATCCAAGGAAAGCTGCTCAGCAGTTTCTGTTTCTGTTTTCAGGAAGTTTCCCCTGGTCTGAATAAACAGAATATTCTGACTACCCAGGTAAAGCACTCTTATGCTGAAACTTGTAAGGGAACTGTGATGAAATAAAGATAATCGAATTTTATTCAGCCATGGTTGCAGGTGAATGGATGGAACTGGGAATATCATTTTAAGTGAGGTTAGCCAGGTTCAGAAAGCCAAAAGCTGCAGGTTTTCTCTCAAATGTGGAATATAGGCCTCATACAAATACAAGCAATATTATGAAAAACAGGTCACACTAGGGGAGATCAAACACTAGAGAAGGGGTAGGGTAAAGAAGGAACTAAGCAGGTAAATATGGTTGATGTACTTCCTGTTAAAGCATGAATATAGAATTTATAAACATCTTGAAATGAAGGGGATTGAGGTAGAAATGAGAAAATTAGAGATGAACCAATTCTGGTTATAATACATATGTATGGAAATGTCAAAAGGAAAGCTCCTGTGTAGCTATCTTCAACAAAGGAAAAGGTCATTTTTTTTACAAAATAATAGAACAGGAGGGCAGACAGGTCCTGTCTGGGGGGTTGGTACTAGTGGGGAAAGGGTATTGGAGGGTGAATATGGTGCAAACACTGTGTACATATGCATGTAAGTGGAAAAATGGTATCATTGAAATCATTCCAAGAATGGGGAGAGGGGGAGATAAAGGAGGATGATGGGGGTCAATTCAACTATGGAGTGTTTGATATGTTGTAAGAAGTTTTGCAAATGTCACAATGTACACCTTGCAGAACAATAAAACAAATTAAATGAATAAATGAATAAAGATAATGGTAACATAAAGGGTGATGACTGAAGTGATTTAAATGACATTTGGGCTTCAGTGATGCAAACATGAGGTGTTACCTCTGACATCACAGCAGCCATTACTCTGGTGGACAGAGCAGAAGACTGGGTTTCTGAACATATCAGGAGACTAAAACCTAAATCATACCACACACATTTCTGAAATCTGTGGTTCTTGTAAAAGAGTTGTGATGTTTCCAGCTCTCTCAATTCTTTTAACACAAACACACTTAACAGTCTATTACCTGGGTGTCTTCTGATTTTTACTTACTCTGTATTCTATTTTATAAAGGTGTTTCTAGTTTTAGACTTTAAACAACAAGTACTCTTGACATAGGAGCCAGCTATCTGTTCCCTACTCCTGTACTAATTTATCACTGGCCAAGAAAGCCTAACTTTCTCAAAATTGAAAATGTTCAAAGGCAAAATTTATTAGAGGTACTTAAACTACTTTTACTGAAAGGCACTGACTCCTTACCTAGTCTCCCATATTAGCCAAAATCAACAACAACAAAAAAGCATTGCAGCTCTCCATTCTGTATCTGTTTTGTTCAGTGTCATTCCACTTGCAGTTGCCCTACAACCCCCTGGGAATCAAGAAAGGACAAAAATAATCAGTAACATCTTCATGACAAGGGATGGAAATTATACCCAACAGTAGGCCCTCCTTAGGATGGATTACCCTCCGTGATCACAACTCCAAAACATCTCCCCAAAAAGAACTAAATAATGGTAAACCAGTACACACCTGAGGATCTGTGACTGGGCCTGTTCCACTATGCTTAACTTTGTCCCTTGCCCCCTTTATTTTGTCAATTTATTCCTATAGCCCATGTTTGTGTCCCAAGATCCCTTAACATTCCTTTCCATGCTGATAACCATTGGCTGAAGGATATTGAACTACATGCCTCAATTTATCTCCCAGAGCCTACATTCCTTTAAACAGGTCATCACTCAGAACCATGTTGACCATGTACTCATGCTGCTTTTATGTCAACCCGTCCAGGATAGTTAGTGATGACATTAAGAGTCTTTGAGAACATTCTGCCATTTTCTGACAACAAACAATGGAAATCTCAATGCTTTGAACTTCCTGGGGTAATAGGATACCATGGGAACTCCCTTTACTGGGAGAGCTTTATTTATCCTCATTGTGACCTTGTCTGTTTCAAACTTTCTTGCTTTATTACCCAGAGACCCAAGGATTTTTCCAGGACACAATCAAAAAACAGATCAACTCGGTCATATTCCTGCAACAGGCCCTCTACAGCTGTCTAGAGCAAAAGCCAATGCCAGTATCTCCTCCCTTTTGGGAGCTCAATGCCCCTCCTCAGTAGGAAATTGCTAGACAAAACTTCATTGTCACTTTTCCAGATATAGTGGAATGTCCATGTGGAACCACAGGGGAGGAATGATTTGTATAATTAAATAGTCACTGCACCTGGGTACCTGACAGGGAAAAGAGGGACATGGTGGAGCCCAAATGTTCTGCGGAACTCAGCATACATCTCCACCATGTCCTGGACACCAGTTTTCCTCCACATCTGCCCCTCTTCACAAGTGACCTTCTCATCCATGACTCTAGATTCATCCCCAATAGGAACCTGATTTGATCCAGCCCCAAAACCTTTGTTCTGCCCATGCAGCTTCTGTGGGCCCAGGTAATTTCTCTTTCATTTTCAGGTCCCCTTTCCTCTTCTGTCTTTCAGCCTCCATGGCCTCCCATTTACTGACACAGATTCCCTCAGTGTAAATGCCCAAGTCAAATGGCCAAGATCATCTGCTCTGGAGATAAACTCTTATATGAATATATTCAAAGGAATCAACGTGAGCCAGGTGTGCCCCCTCTGCCAGTCACTTATGAAGATAAGGAATCACCCTGAGGTGTTCCTGACTGAGTTTCTTCCTACAGCTCTGAAAACATGGCCATCCAGAGCCTCAGTGGTGCCCAGGCTGAGGAGAAGGCTGGTTATTTCTGACAAAAGTGGAAAACATTGGTAAAGCTAACAGATAGATCAAGAAGTGACAGATGGGGATAGATGGGGAAGTGAAACACAAACACTTTAAATTTTAAAATCAGTGCAAAATAATGCTGTTAAAGGAACAGCTAAAGCAGCCCTTTAAAGAACTTATGCATTCATATTCTCAACAGTAGAGTGATGATGTCAAGTACATAATTACATCTATGTGGCTCACAGAGTTTTGTCCAAAGTGAACTTCAAAATAGAGTTATCAATATTTATCAAAGTAGTCTTCATGGAAGAGCTGAACCAGAGACAGTGAGCCTCATGGCTTCCCTCCCTCAATCTCATATGCACTTACATCTTTAAGGTCACACTCCATCTTGATTCAATCTTGTGCCTCATTTTCCTTCCACTCTGGTCACAGAAATTAGGTCTTAGAGTGTGGAAATAGAGAAAGTGGTAGGAGAGGTAATACATATTTTGTGTCCATATTGTTCAAGATGTTAAGTAGATTGAGATACAGCAAATAAGAAAACACATAGAAATATCTGCTCTAAGAGTCACATCAAGAAGGAGGTGCAGCTGAAAGCTCTGGGAGTTTGTCCTTCCTATGTACTTTCAATTTAAGTCTCAGACATGATCAGAATCACTGTATTGCAAGACTGGAATCCATGCACACATTTGCTGTATGCATGGGACAACTGAAGGATGACGAGGTTGATATAAGAATCATTCTTAGGTCCATTTGTGACTACAGAGCTCAGTGAACAGACACTTCACAGATCTCCCAGATGAGGAGTGCAATTGTTGTAAACATAGTGTGGAAAAGTCACTAAAAAAGAACGATTGAGTCCTCCAGCAAATAATGTCCCCAAAAGGAGAATGTGATTAATCTGATGTTCAGAATTATAGCATTGTACCATTCAACATGTCCAGATTTCAAGAATATTTTCTTAGCATACATAGTAACAAATACACTTAACCCATTCACTGAGAAAGAAAAAAATCCACTGAAAATATTCCAGGAGAAGCACATAAGTTGGATATTATACACCAAACATTAAATTAAACCATTAAGTATGCTTAAATTGCTAAAAGAATACATGGAAAATCCCCAAAGGATATTAGAGGGATAGTGTCCAAGAAGAAATCCCATATAGCCAAGAAATAAGTTTTGAAAACTTCCAAATAAAAACAAAGATATGAATAATTCCTTTCAAGGAACTCAATGAATTCAAAAAATGTTTCAGTGAATATTTAAGTGGAAATAATAGGTGGAATTAAGTTTCAAAATAAATTTTTTTTTTTAATGTTCTATAACATTGTTATTTCAGTATGTAATGCATATTTAGAATGGGAGTATTTTTCTATCTTCTATGAAGTCTTTGACCTCTAGAGTGTATTTCACACCTACAGTACTTCTGTATCTGGATCATGAACATCATGGGCTCAGCAGCTACCTATGTTGGTCAGATCAGGTCTAGAGGGAAGATGTTCTATTTGGGTAATCGCATCTGTTGTATATGCTTCTATCCACATGGAGGCGGCAGAGAGTCTCATATACAAAAGACCTCATGAGGAAGAATGGCTGCTCCACCTTCAACTCATACCAGAGGAAGCAGAAGTGAGATATACGAGAGATGATTGCTTAAAATATGGGGGCCAGGATTCTTTCCTTTTCAAAGACATTAAGTTTAACCACAGTTTGAACTAGAAATCTGAGCCATTAAATGATTTTTCTAATGGTCAGTGGAATGAATGTTAACAGCTTTCATGAATTATCTTAGATGCTGCTTCATTGTTCCCATCTCAGACAGAAGAACCTTGCAATAAAATTATTGAGATATTTTACTGAGGATATTTTATGGATGTTGAAATAAGGCAAAGAGAAGAGTTCATTGAAATTTAGAATACTGACATTCTCTATCCTGGGATATATTTCCTACAAACAAGCATCTAGTATGTTTTTGAAAGTGAACCTACCCAAGGATGGTCCTAGTGGACTTGATCCAGGGTTGGATTAGAGCACACAGCCAAGTTTCAGAAGTGGCCTGTACATCTAAGGAAGTTCTTGAAGTGAGTCTTCTGAGAGGAAATATAATGTCCTCTCTACTGTCTGGGACTAAGACTGCTCATGAAGGCTGGCTCATCACTGGATGTGAGGAGAGTTCATACATTATACATAACAATTATGTAAGGCTATGATGAGGTTCTGGCATAACACATCTAATATCCTCTCCAAAAGATCTGGCATATTATAAGGACTCACATGATGTCATTCTGCATGAGACACTGTGACTTACATGGGACATTTGTCCTGAGGTCAGAAGTGAGCTCTGTGGCTCTCACTTTGCAGACCCTGGCAGTGCTCAAGGGAAAAGTTTTCCCTGATGCCCCTTTGAGGCTCCTGCTGTTTGGTGAAAAATCTCTCCACTACTAACACCAACCTTGACTATTTTCTGATAATAGGAAATTACTTGAGCATGGTGTTCACACTCTAGTCTCAGGCAAGAGGTTAGAAACCAAACTTTGGAAGGCAGTACAGATTTGCATCCATTGCTCCTCGTTTCTCACTCTGCAAGAAGACAGGATAAGAGAGGAACTGCAGAGTGTAGGCCCAGCTAAGCTGCTGCAGGACAGAACACCTGAAAGTGCCTTCTCACCATGGCCTAGCTTCCCTTCAGCCTCCTGCCTCTCCTTTTCTTCACAGGTGTAGCAACCCTGGGAACTCAGGGAACACTTTAATATTTCTCCAAGCCCATATCCTGTGGGGTTAGCTTTCCAGGACACCTTGACATTCAGTGTCACTCATGAAATTTTATGTTTCCAGGTTTCTGTGCTCTGCCTGTGCTGACTCAGCCTCCATCTGTGTCTGCCTCCCTGGGAGACTCAACCAGGCTCATCTGCACCCTCAGCAGTGAGCACAGCAATTACCACATTCACTGGTATCAGCAGACACAAGGGAAGAGTCCCCAGTATATAAAGAAGGTGAAAAGTGATGGCAGCTTCAGCAAGGAGGACGGGATCTCCAATCGCTTCTCAGGCTCCAGATCTGGAGCTGATCGCTACTTAACCATCTCCAACCTTGAGTCTGAGGATGAGGCTGAGTATTACTGTGGAGAGTCCCATACCATCAATGGACAGTATGGTTAAGCCACAGTGAAAAAAACAAAGCAGAAGTGAGGCCAAAGCCTCCCTCCCTACCTTCTTCCTTAGGGACCTAGACTGACAGCCATATACCTCTCTCCAGAACTCTGACCCTGATGCTTGTTTTGCAATCCTTCTTATCTCTCAAATTTGCATCTGAGTCAGTTCTAGGTGGAGGGAGAAATGGCTCATCTTTGAGGTCATTTTGAGAGCTCAACATTCTGCTTCAATACCACCAACCTGTGAAGACAATGCTGGGAGAGACCAGCCCAGCTCAGAGATGAGACATGCCTAGGAGAGAATGCCTGGGCTGATATAACCATGTCCCATGTGCTCCCTAGGCCCTGGTATCCATTGTGCTTGGTGAAGGGACACTAATAGAGTGTCTAGAGGTGAATTTGAAAGTTGACTGCAGTGTTTCTTATTGCCTGGTCCTACTGCAGTGTTGCAGAACTCTGTCATGACAGAGAACTGTTAACCAGGAAATAAGAAATATGTAAACATCAAAGCAAAGGCAGTTTTTATTCATCTACACAATAGATTTGCAAGTCCTCAACAGAGGTTGAGTTGGAAAAAATGTTCTATCAAGGTAGAGATGTACTGGATTTTTTCAGGGAAGATAGAAAATAATGGTGTGAGTTGAAGGAACTTGTTTTGAACAATTTCATATTGACCCTGTGATATCTATGAATTGTGGGAGAATTTGAATTGTTCCTTCAGTCTGTCCATATGTAAAGCTGTACATGACTCATTGCTAGGAGGTTAACATAAGGAGGAAGCAGCAACTCTTTCAAAACTGGAAGTCAGCAGAACCTTCAATGAACGTAAACTACTACATTGTGTACTCTTGATGCATATTTTCCACATTATTTTTTAACTGTAAGCCTAAATCAGGGACCTGTGTCTGTAAGGCAAATTGTAGTCTATTAAATTTTAGACCAATGGGGCTCACAGAAGTTTTGCTCTATCTTGACCAAACCACAGACTTTAATTTGTTTTTCCACAATAACCAGTCAAATTAAATCTATATTGTTTTGTTGTTGTTTTCATTTGCTTCTTTTTTAGCCACAAGTAAATAGATCCTTTTTACTATCCAGGTCTGTTAATTTGTTAATGCATACAGAGGTGTTAGTACCTCTACAGGTAAGACACATAGCAGTGTAATCACCAACCACACATTCACTCTCTCCTTTGCAGTCATACCCTTCCTCACCCAACCTCTGGAACTGCTGACCTTCTGTCTGTCTCTATGAATTTACCTTTGTGAGAACATTATAGAAACAGAAATGTACAATTGGTTCTGTGACCTTTCACAAAGCACCGTGCATATGAGACCAACCTGTGTTACTGTGTTTTGACACTGCAAAGTTCACAATCCATGACCAAGTTGGTTTCATTCCTGGGATGCAAGAGTTTTTCAATACATGGTAGTCAATAAATACTTAATACAGTTCTTAAGTTGAGCCAAGGTCAAAAATCACATAATAAAATCAATAGACACAGAATAAGCCTGTAGAAAGCATCAATATTGTTTCATGATAAAATATTTGCAGAAGCTAGGTATATAAGAATCATACCTCAACATGATAAAGGCTATATCTTACAAACCTGAAGCCAACATAGAATTGGGAAAAATTGGAAGCACTTCTTCTGCTATCAGGAATGAAGCAAAGACATCTATTTTGTCCTGTCTGATTTGATACAGTATCTGATTTCTTAGGACCATAGGAAAGGGAAAACAATGGAAGTGACAGTACTATAAAAGGAAAAAGTCATATTATCCTTTTTTGAGGCTGGTAAAATCCTACACTTAAGAGACCCCAAGAAATTCACACGAAAACACAGAACTGTAAAACACTTTCTGCAAAGTATCTGGATGAAAAATTAACATACAAAAGTCAGTGACATTTATATATGCCAATAATGAACATGCAGAGGAAAAAATTAGAAAAGCATTAACATTTATAACAGCTTCAAAAATAGCTGGGAAGAAACCTAAACAAAGAAATGAAAGGCCTTAACAATGAAAGGTATGAAACAATGAAAAAAGAAATTTAAGAAAATCTTATGAGATGGAGTAGACCTCCATGCTATGCATTGGTGTAATTAATATTCTGAATATGACTATATTTCCTAAAGTGAGCAACAGAGTCAATGCAATCCATATTAAAATTGTAATGATATTCATCACAGAAATTGCAATAACAATTCTAAAATGAATAAGGATGCACCCAAGAAACTAACTAGCAAAACATGTGAGACTTCAAGAACATTTAAACCAATGGAATGTAGAGTATTGGTGACTCATATATAAAAGTATTTGACTTCATGGAAAGTCTGAACTCAGTAGGTCTAACAGGACCTGTGAATGACAAAATTAAATTTAATACAGAAATTCAAGGAACCACCTCTAGGTATTAGCTCAAATCCAGTGACCAGCCTCTAGAGCATATCTTATTACAATGTATGAAATACATTTTAACTTTATTTTGAAATAAGCATTCCATGAGAGTGTGAGGTGTTCCATTGTGCAAACTCCAGAGACGCATACAGTACACATTGAAAAAGTTCTTCCCTTTCTGTGACTATTTTTTAAAGACCTGTTAAAAGAAAGAAGAAAATTACTACCTGAATGAGGAAAAGAGAATCCACACTGTGTTAATTCTCCTGATGAAATTTTTGGGCAGAGGTGGTTGAAATAGCAATCACAAATCTCCTCAATGAGTAATTTCATTCCTTCTTAAAAAAATGGAAAAACAGCAGATATCTGAAAAGAAATAGAGGTAATACAAGAAAATAGAATAGAAAACTCCTAAATAAACCCAAGCAGCTACACCATCTGACTGTTGAGAAAGGAACAAAAAACATAGGTTGGAGAAGACAGCCTCTTCAATAAATGTTGAGGAGTAAAACTAGACTCCATCTCAAACCCTGTTCAAAATCAATTCAAAATGGATGAAAGATCTTATTCTAAGTCCCACACTGTGCAACTTCAATATGAAAACACATGACAAAACTTGAAGATTTTGGCCTAATGAATGACTTTGTAAATAGGACTCTAATTGTTCAAGAAACAAGAGCAAGAATAAACACAGATGAATGGACCAAATTAAAAGATTTTGGCACTTCAAAGAAGCAATGACTGAAGTGAAAAAAGCATCCCCACAGACTGGGAGAAAATGATTGCAAGTTATTTACTGGACTAAGGATTAATATTCTCAATATATAAAATAGCCAAAGGAACAAATAGTATAATTAAATGGGCTAGTGCACTGAAGAGACAGTTCTCAGGAGAGGAAGTACAAATGGCACATTAATAAATGAAGAAATGTACAAATCCCTTACTACCAAGGAATTTCATATCAAAATGATATGGCAATTCCATCTGACACCAGTCAAGATAACTACCATCAAGGAAAAAATGACCACATAGTCTTTTAAGGATGCAGAAGAAAAGAACACTTATACTTGGTGGTGGTAACATAAATTAGTGCAACCAGCAAGGAAATCAGTATGGAGTTTCTTCAAGAAATTAAAAATGGAACCACTTTTGTGAATATACCTGGAAGAAATGTAAATCAATACACAGATGAGATACCTGCATACTCAAGTTTATTGTAACAGTATTCACAATTTCCAAACTATGAAATCAGCCTAGGTGCACTAAAACATGATCGGGTAAAGAAAATGTGGCACATGTACACAATGGAGTATTTTTCAGCCAAATAGAAGAAGGAAATTATGACACTTGCTATAAAATGGATGTAACTACAGATCATATTGAGTGAAAAAAGCCAAGTTGAGAAAGATGAATGTCACATGGTTTTGCAAATATGCGGAAATTAGGAATTATATCAGCACTGTTACTATACTAAGGACAATAATAATTAAATACTGAAAAACTGTTAAAAGTTTGTGAGAAGAGGAAAGGGGTCAATAAAGAGTACTAGAGGAGGTAAGTTTTTCCAATTAAATTATATGCATGTTTGAAAATATCACAATCCTTTACTATAATGCAATTAATTTAAAATAATTAATAAAAGCCAAAAGAAATAGAGATCAAAGAAAGAAGCAAATGGTAATCACATAGTAGAATAAGTAATGAATTATAAAACCAATTTCTGGAGAAGGAAAAAACAAATGACAGTGAAACACAAGAGGAGGTACAAATAGATATCAAAGACAGCAGGGGATGCTGTGGGTCTTCTCAGTGGTTTGAAAGAGATGAAAGAACTCACATGCTCACATTAATGGTCTGGGAAGTGCTTATTGGACCAATTTAAGAGTAAACCAGGTGTTTCCTCCCTTGGGGAAATTCACAGTTCAAAACAATCCAGCCTCCCGGAAAGCGTAGCTACTTCTTGGGTAGAGAAGAAAAACCTGTTGGTCCTGATTATGTTGACTCAGGGTCCATATTTGCACAATGCAACAAATAACCACACACTTTCTACTCCTCACATAGCTGAGGAGAGGTAAAAGGGCTATGCCACTGACCAGCAGCAGCTGTGTGCCCAAAGGATCTTTGGACATCTACACCAGAATGTGGATACCTCCACCACTCCCCAGTCAATTTAGTGACTGTCCATATTCATAGAGATTTTAGAAACCCAAGTTTGGATTGATTCCTCTGTCTTCCTCAATCATTCCTAAAGTATTCGTTTTCCGTCCACAATCAGGTTTTTGGCCTGGTGGTGACTCTTCAGTTATCACTGACTCTGTCCATAGTTACTCATGTTTTTTGTCTGCCATTTCTTGGAGTCACCAGTGGTCACTTCACATACAGAGTTCTGACCATGCATGCCGGATAATAATTTATAGTAAAATAAAAGATATTTATTGACTCCCTGTTTGGTCCATGCTTAGGGACAAAGCTCCCCTAACTCCATCCACGGCCCACCATGAAGAGAAGGCTCAATTCTATTGCATGCTACATTTCAGTGGTTCCCACACATTATCATTGATTTAACCTGAAAAGAAGCACAATCACTTGACCAGGCATGAGCTCT